AAGAGATAGAATCTCTCTGTGTTGCCCAGGCTGGCCTTGAACTCCTGACCTCAAGCGATCCTTCTGCCTCGGCCTCCCAAAGTGTTGGGATTACAGGCGTGAGCCACTGCGCCCGGCCGAGATCCATAGAGTAATATCTTTATTCATCCTTACATGAGCGGCACCCCATAACGTGTAAAGTGCCTTGCCCAGTCTAGCACACAGTAGGCCTGGCACATGGTGGGTGGTCACGCATATTAGTCTCTTCTTCCTTCCAGACCTTTTGTATTTTCCAGATGATGGTAGCAAGAAGTCCAGGGTCCACAGGGATTTGACTCTGCCTGAAAAATGGTATGGGAGATGGCAGGAGAAATTGACCAACTCCAATAAAGCAATCAAATAGTCAATTACTTATTGCATTCATTAAGAAGAAACAGAATTCTGCTATCAGTGTCATGTATTGTTTTATGGTAGTTGCTTTTGTAAAGTATTCTTAGGGTGCTAGTCAGTGAGCTTTGCAGTATAATTACTCCCCATTTTCTCTCCATCCCCATCTGCAGTTTAGGGAACCTTTCTTTTAGGAAAGAAAGAGCCCCTACCCCCAGCTAAAATGGCATAGTACATAAGCAGTGTTGCACGGGTTTACTTATTAGTTGGACTGTCCAGGGAGCTGCAATGAATTTTCATCTTTTAAGATCCAGGAGGAATCAGGATTTGGGCTTCCTGGAATCAACTGCTGTACAGATCAGATACGCTTAAGAATTAAACTTCTGACAAGTTCTCTCAGAGTGAAAAAGGAATTATCCACTTCTCTCCTTCCCCCTCTCCAAACACTGGCACTTGGAGGGAATAGTGAGTTGATTTTTAAAAAAGAGTAAGATGCGTTTGACTTTTTAAAGTGATCAAAGCATTGTCATTGGCCCTGTGCTATTCTTGCCACATTTGCTCTGATGACCTCAAGCCTGGATGAATCAGTCAGCTTTTTCTGCTCCTGGTATCCCAGGGAAGGCTGGCGAAAATCATGTAACTAAGCGGCTAGGTGCTGTTTCTCCACTTCTGGATCCTGGAAATCCTTTGATTCCTCTTTCATCCTAAAATCTAAATGGCCGTTCATAGATCTTTACCATTCTTCTCTGACACTGTCCTACTCCTGCCTTCTTTTCGTTGCTTATTTTGCCTCTTAACTTTGCAGAAGAAATTGGTAGGCATCAGCCCTGAACTCTTAAGGTGCTGTAATTTTTGTCTGTGCCTATCTGTATCTGATTTCTAATACCCTTTCCTTTGATCTCAGAGGAAGAGGGGTCTTCTTTTCTAAAGCTAGCATCTTTGATCTCTCCCCATATATATATATATGTATTTTTTTTTTTTTTTTTTTTT